GCATCTGCAAACCAGGAATCCCTTAGAAAGCGTTAGCAACGCTCGGTAACGACGCTAACAGCAGTAAGAGCCGGTAAGCGTTTCAAACGACCGCAAGAGCTCCCGCCTCGTGTTGGAACCGCGCCGCACACATTTTCGACCTTATCATTTCGCCCCTCCCTTCTGTTGTTAGGTGTCATACTGCTAGTCCTTGAGAATACCTCTCTGCCCATGCAATTTTGACGCGAAAAGATGTAGGGGCTGTGAGGATACAGGCGCCACAAACAAGCCACGACCCGCGCGAACCTTGTCGGCCATCGCCGAGGCACGCGAGAGCCACGCTTTCTTGACGCTTTCTGGCCGTTTGAAACGCTTAACGGCTCTTACCGTCGTTATCGTTGTTACTAACACTTGTTAAGGGATTCCTGGTTTGCAGATGAGCGCGCACGCTTCCGAAGTACATGACAGCTGGGCTAGCGCCGTCGTGATCTGTACAGCTTCGCCTCGCGCTCTCGGAGCACCTCCTGTTCTGGGATGTCATAGGCGAGTCTTCGAAGAATACAACGAGAGACGCGTGTTTCATGAATATCATTGGCAGCTGTCCCATTGGAGCGAATGGTTGTAGTGCGAGTTGATGGTCACCTTCGACCCTTCGCTTATTTTGAATTGATTTTTAGGGTCGTGCATCTGCGACTCCGGGTCCGGGCGCATCACCTACGTCAGGTGAATCCCGGAGATGAATGCAGGCGACGAGAAGATCGTCGATGTCAAGCTCATTGGGTTTGCGTGGTGAGTTCACAATCTCCCCAAAACGCTCTCAAAGTGTTGAGCTCGGAACCCTCAGACGTTACTGGGCATCTGCATAGTCTGCACGGTGGACGCTTTGCGTTGAATACCTCGAAGGTTTCCCTGGTGTTCCAGTCTCCACGTTGGCCCTGCGATGTTGACGCGTCAGTAATGATGAGAGAAACGGGCACTCGTTTCATGATACAATACACAAAGAAGACCAGGGCTGTCGTTCCCTACATCTCATCCGCTCCACCTTTCTCAGCGCCGTCAAAAGCCCGTTCTCTTACGTTTGTAACGCCCCGCACTGCATTCAACGGCTAACAACTACAATTATTCGGATATTATACAGTCGGTGGAGCGCAACACGGGGCCGTGCTGATTTGAGGGTCATGGTAGGAAGTCGTTCAATCGTCTACCGCTTCGGAACGCTTACTCCGTACTCGCAGAGAGAGGCAGACTTGGATGACCGCATTCCGCGTGCAGAAACGTATAAAGGCTCGCTGAGGTTTGCCCGTGGATTGCCATCCCGCCGAATACTCTTCAGGGCACCGATAACTCAAGCAACCTCTTCAACTCATCTTCCACTCATCCTCATACACAACATGATGTTCAAGCTCTCCGCTGCCTTCCTCGCTGTCGCGACGCTCTTCGTCACTGTCAATGCGCTCGCCGACAACCCCGGTACATATCCATCTACTTCGTAACCTTTTGATCTGGACTGACCATCTCCACTTTACTAGTGGATGCTTGCAACGGCTCCAACCACTACGGCGTCGGCCATAGCTGCGCCTTCAAGACGTCAGACGGCAGCACTTCCCAAGGCAGTGAGTACAATCCCGCGCCCATTCATAACTCTGTGATCTAACTCGCTGCGTAGCTTGCCAGACCGACTCTTCTGGAGACCTCGTCTGCATCCCCAACTGAGGAAGAAAACCGTCGTTCTTGCTCGGTCAAAGTCCTCCATGTGAGTCTATCCCAGGATCTTACCGCTTTCCAGTCTGTGACTTATAATCCTGGGACAGCAAGCTTAACTCCACTTTCGGTGCTTGTGGCAGCCTAGGATTCGCTCGTAACTCCTAGTATACCATATCACCGTAGCCTATGAGGCATCTCAATATGACATCGCCTTTGCTTCCTATCGTGATACTCAGTGCGTGTGAGGTATCTATGCGCCCGGACGAAGTCGTCCGTATATAGGATTAGTACGTGCTTTGGTAAGGAGAAGGGAACCCTCAGCCGATTCTTGAGCGCTAGCGCTTAAGCATCCGGGTTAAGGTTTGCATGAGCCCGCACATAGAGCGCGGAGTCTGTAGTACTTACCTGCCTCGCACGACATCGTACCCGTTTGAGCGGGCTCTTGACTTAAGACAGTATCACGCAGCACTGTGAGCAGACAAATAGAGGGACTGTCGCGAGCCATATCCACGTAAGTACTATCCAAAGGTCGGACAAGCCATGACTCAAATTCCGTCGACTGTCTGATGCAAATCAGTACTTACCGTCATAAGTTCGCGGATGCAGCGTATGGGTGTGCACCCCGCATACAGAGTAAGCAGACCATGTCGACTCGAGGAACGGATTATTGTGTAATAGATACATGTACAGAGATCTGACAGGATGTGTATAATACTCTATATCGTGTCCGTGGAGTACAGCCCGGGTCATATGGAATGAGACATTGCTAGATGATACATTGGTGGGTTCCGATAGATGATCAATCACGCCGCCTGCAACGCAATCTCGAGCGCCTGCTCTACGTCGTGGACTAGGTCCTCCGCATCTTCAACGCCAACGGACAACCGTATGAGCGAATCGCTGATGCCAAGTTTCTCCCGCTCAACGTCAGGGATGCTCGCGTGTGTCATGAGAGCCGGAAGCTCTGCAAGACTCTCGACACCACCGAGGGATTCAGCGAGCGTGAAGAGGCGCGTTGCGGCAAGGAATCGCTTCGCCTCCTCGAGCCCTCCTTGGATGCGGAATGAAATCATGCCGCCGTAGGGGAAGGAGCCGTCACTGTCGACGCCCTCGGTTGAAAGGTAGCCGTTGACGAACTTCTCCGCGTGAGGTGAGAGTGATCGCCTAGCGAGGGCATTGCGTGGGTGCGAAGATAGACCAGGGTAGATGACCTCCTGGACATGAGGGCTCTGCTGGAGAGCACGAGCGACAGCTAGCGCGTTGCGCCCGTGCTCCCGCATGCGTAGATGAAGTGTCTTGACACCACGTTGGGCGAGCCATGAGTCGTATGCGCTCGGCACGGCGCCGATGGCATTCTGTAAGAAAGCCAGGCGTTCGCGTAGCGCAGCGTGGTGAGCAGGCAGGATCACGGCCCCCATTACGACGTCAGAATGGCCGTTGACGTATTTTGTAAGGCTGTGAACGACAATGTCGGCTCCTTGCAGAAGCGGCGAAGAGTAATACGGCGATAGGAAGGTGTTGTCCACGAGGACGAGGGGATGCGAGGGGTGCGCGTGTGCGATGGCCACGACACGGGGAATGTCGATCAAACGCAAAGTAGGGTTGGTCGGCGACTCTATCCAAATAAGCTATTCACGGGTCAGGACACCCGGCCATAACTTACAACGCGGCGAATCACGAACCTTGGTGTTCGGGCGAATGGCATCCGCGATCTCTTCTTCCTCCGCATTTTCAAGGTCGAGGAACGTAGTCTCAAGTCCCTGGTTGAGGCTCGCAACCTTGGTCATGTAGCGGAACGTTCCGCCGTAAACGTCGTTGACAGAGATTATGTGCGAGTCCGGTCCAAGGGAAGATAGAACGGTGGAAGTCGTCGCCGAACCAGACGCGAACCCGAGCGCATAGGCGCCGCCTGACTCAATAGAAGCCAGAGTGGCCTCTAGCGCATTACGGTTGGGGTTTCCACTGCGAGAGTATTCGAAGCCCTGAAAGATGTATGAAGAAAACCTGATCAGCGCGTGCCCGCGGTGAACTCGCGCTCGGGAGACGCACCTTGTGGTTGCCGACCCCGTCCTGCTTGTAAGTCGTGCTCAGAGAGATGGCTGGGATGACAGCGCCCGTCTCCGCGCTGGGTTCAGAGCCGACGTGGATAGCACGAGTGCCAAAGCCGTCGAGATCAGCCGTCTTCAGTTTCTTGAAGCCGTTCTCGTGATGATGGCCGTTCGACGCGTGATGATCGTACACCATGGGCGACATGTGGAGACAGGTAGCTGGGGAACGTCATTTGCAGCAGCATTTCCTGTACGATGCTTATATAGCCGGCGGGGATGGTTCGACGTAAGTTGTTTCAAGGCGGCGGGATGGCTCACAATGACGAGCTAGCGTGGCTTGTGGGTCCAACCTATGTTCGGATCTTGTCCGGCCATCTCCGTGTGCGCGTGGCATCCGCATTCTCGCTGGTATTTCTTGGCTCTCTACGACCATAGCTCCGTGGCGTTGAGTGCGGCGAGTTCGGCGAAAGACGACCTTATAATCCTATAACCGGCTTCCTTTCCTCCCTGTGCATACGGGGTATGCTGTTCGACTTGTCGGATCAGTAAATCTAGTTCCCAAACAAGACCTACGCCGAGGGCGCTCCGGGCCATGACAGTAAGTGATCAAGCGGCTTATGCACACAATGTACCGCATGGCATGTATAGCGGTATGGTGCCATGCTTCGCAGTATTGACGTCTATATGTCGACGGTGGGCTACACGCTGGTGGGCCGCACGCTCGACCATCGAAGTGCTTGCCGTAGTCGTGATGAGTGAACTATGGTGCGCTGTCCAGAGACCGTATGCGCGTGAAGGCGCTTCGCGTGCTCTGTGCTGATGCATGTTTACGCCAGCCACCATGGCCACTGTGCACCGTGGCTTTTCTGTGCAAACCCCCTGCCATGAACTGTTGCTGAATGTGCCTTCTTCTTGTAGACAGCCGTTGGGGTCAACCTCTCCTCTAATCCCCCCCGAGCGCCAGCGACCTTCGTTACTGTCCAAATCGGCATCGCATCCGCACGCCTCTTCGTCAACTTTATAGGTCTTCGGTAAACGGCCCACCGCTTGCACGTTGTATCGCTCTGGTGACCAGGAGGAGATCAAGTGCGCTCAAGTGACCAAGATGGGCTGCTTCCTGTCGATGTGCGCGGATCATCTCCAGGCGCACCTACAACCTTCGCGGTAGCACTTGTACAACGTGCGCGCACAAGACCTCGGGTTCGTACGGGGACGTTCTCTGACCGGTCTTGGAGAGTGTCTCCTGCCTCTCAGTGAGTGAACATGATCACACTCGCAACAACCTATACTCAGACGCTGTGGAGGAACCCTGTACTTGTTGTCGTTCGTGCATCGGAAGATGCGTATGGAGATTTAGCAATGCAACAGAAGGGGTTTCTCGAACCTGGGATTAGGTTGGCTGACAGGGCAACTGACTCGCCAATTTCCTCATGTGATCACCGCTGCGGCCTCGAAGAATCACTTCCCAACCTTCCCTTGCGCGCCCGCAGGTGTTTTCTTGCTACATGGCTCACCTTCCAGTCCTATAGTGACAACCAACTGATTCTTCTGAGTCCACATGACGACGATGAACCGCATGCTACTTCGGATGAGGCGCGCACCCACACTCTTCTGGACAACACCTGTGACTGCCAGAACCATTTCACTGCCCTGCTGCCTCCTGGCGCAAGTTTCAGAAGCCATGACGCCTCCGAGCTCGGACTCCCCGCCCTTATAAAGGTCACTTCCGAAGACGTATACGATCCAGGCTGTCCTCCAGGCTTACAGCTCTTCATACCAACGCGCTTCATTCCTCAACATCATGAAGTTCTCCGTTAGCTTCGTCTCCCTCTCTCTTGCCGTCAACGCGATAGCGTCTCCCTTCAAGCGCGATGCTGCCACCGTTGAAGCAGACATCGCTACCATCACCTCCCAGGTGTCTGCACTGAACGACGCGATCACGCAGTTCGGGACCAGCAAGTCGCTCACGGATGCGCTGGTGAGCGATTTCTTCCGTATCTGTGCGAAACGTTGATATGAATATGTGCCGCCTATATAGGCCATTCATAGCGATGCGGGGACTCTGGAGACGGCCATCAATCAGGCGACGAGTGACACGAACGCCAGCGATGCATTCACCGAGGATGAAGGCGCCACCATTCTTTCTGCCATTCAGAACCTGGAGCCTAATATCATTGCCGCTCTCCAAAACCTCGACAGTCAGCACGATAATTTTGCCTCGCAGCCGATCGCAGGTCTCGACGCAGTCGTCGAGTCTGACCTGAATACCCTGAACACCGACACGACCGCCTTCGAGAACGCTCTACTTTCCAAGGCTCCGGTGAGTTCACACCGTCTTCCGGACCAGTCGGTCAGACCATCTGAATATGTACTTGTTAGGCCGACATTCAATCTCAGGCGCAAGCCTCCGTTGCCGATATTAATTCCGCTTTCCAGGCTGCAATTGCTACTTATGCGTCGTAAGAATCGGCGACATAGGGGGCAAATGCCATCGAGCGAGGCTCTTGTAGGTCTAGTTGTTTTTAGGGTTGGGTTCCGTCATATTCCCTTCTCGTGGGCTGTTGTGTTGTAAACTATGCAAATGGTTGCTCAAAAAGTTCAATCATCTCGTCCACGGAAACTCTTGGCCCTCGTCGTACATATGCGCCCCCGGGCCCCCTCCGCATACTATGCACCACAAATGATGATACTCGGTAGTGGATGGATCGCGGCGTGCGAAAGTGCAAGCTCGTCACTCGCCATTGTGTAGTACTCGTACATGCACACGCAGTAAGAGCTCGGCTGGAAAGGTACTGCCGAAGACGGAGATAGCATAGGCCTTAGTTAGTTGCACTTGAACATGTTTTGATCCCACTCGGCTATTTCCGCCTGCCCGCGCGCGCCGGTGCGCTTGGGTCTCGTCACCGCGCGCTTGCTCTTGACGATGATGACGAGTACTCGCCGACCACCATAACCATATCTTTCATCGTTACGCTGAATATATGCGGAGTTCTTGCGATGAGCAGTGACCGTCACGGTGCGCGCCCTGTGCACTCGTAGGCTGCACAAATACTAGCACCGAGTAGAGTCGGTCGACTGTCATTCTCCCACCTTCTGCCAATGCCACGGCCGCCGCACCTACCGGACTCACCTGCGAACTCTCCTGGATGGACGTTACCGGTTACCGCCCGTCTACATCTGATCTGATTTGAGAAGTCCTATCCTCTATTCCCTCCGCCGCAAGTTGAGCGTTCAACACCTTGATCGTCATCCAATGTAACCCCGTACTGCACTCCCAGGTCACCACATCCACTCCTTGACTTTCAACTCTCGGAGCAATGTGACATCTCGGCGCAATGCGTTTCTCCAGCCAGTAGGGGGGATCGTATATCCCACTACCGGTGCTTCTGCACCTGGACCAATGCCGAGGTTCACGGGCTTGAACGGCTTCTCGCGAAGGCTTTACTACATAGTGTTGTAGTGCACATGCGCACTCCGAACATAAACTCAACCTAGCGAATGCCCACCTTCGTAGCAGTCCGTGCGCTGCCGGCACTGTACACGCTGCTGCTAGGATGTAAGATTTGTTCTTCGCGAACCTCGTTTTGAGTTGGTGAACGGGCCTAATGGCACGTTTTTGTGCTCATGTGATCACGACCGAGAGCTCGAAGAACCGAACGTGTGGCATCCTGTTGCGCATGCGCAGGTATATTCTGGCTTTGTGATTCGCCTGTACGTCCTACATCGATAATTCAGTGGTTCTATTTTGCTCATCTGACGCCATTGGACCACGTGCAGCGAACTGAGTAGCACGGGTACAGTCCGAGGCCATACGCTCGCATTGCTAGTGTTCTTGCGTGACTGTCAACGTTCATGACGTCTCTGCTATTAGATGCAGGCTGTCTATAAAACCTAACTTCAAGAACGCAGTAAGCCAGGCTGTCCTCCAGTCCTTTCCAACCCTCCTCTACCCAAACTCGGCGACCACCTCAAACACCATCATCATCATCATGAAGTTCTCTGGCTTAGCTGCGATCGTCCTGGCCGTCTCTGTTACCGCGGCCCCCGCCAAGCGCGATGCTGCGACAGTCGAGTCCGACCTCGCTGGCATCAGCACCCAGGTCAATAATCTAAATAGCGCCATCACGCGTTTCGGCTCTTCCAAGTCGCTCATCGATGCTCTTGTATGTGTCTTACTTTGAGGCCATTGTACAGATACCCACAGTTCTTCCACTAGGCTATCGCCAGTGACGCCAACTCGCTCGATTCGGCTATCAAACAGGCCACCACGGACACGACCGCCAGCGTCGCCTTCACCGAAGGCGAGGGAAGTACTATACTCAGCGCGATCCAGGCTCTTGCGCCCAACATCGTCGCCACACTTCAGAACTTGGATAGCCAGCACGACAATGTTGCGTCTTTGCCCATCCCCGGGATTGACGGGGACATCGAGTCGGAGCTCAACACTCTGAACACTGACACCGCCGCCCTCGAGACCGCCCTCTTGTCCAAGACGCCGGTTAGTATTGCCATGGGAATTGCGGCGGACTGTGACTGACGGCTCTATGTTCTACGACAGTCTGACGATCAAACGGATGAGCAGACCGCTTTCGACACGATTGATGCTGCCTTTACTGCTGCCCTCTCGACATACTCGTCGTAAGAGCCACGCAATTATCTGATTATGGCGTTGGTGCCGGATGAACAAGCTTCTTTACTTTGTGGCCTCAGGCCTTCGGTTGTTTCCAATGCGATTGCTGAATGTGAATACGATACTCCAAGTGTGTTCGGAATGATCTTCGTTCAACATGAACAGGTCCACCCAGTATCCAAACCAGGTATACTGAGCTATCACGTCAACACATGCCTTCCGGGACGAAGATCGTTCCTGGCCGGTGTGACCTCACAGACAACGCAGAAGTGCAGGGGAACTCATAATCGTTCCGACAGTGAAGCCCATGGCCATACACTCAGACTGAAATTATACGTCTGCTTCATTCTATAATCAGCTACTGGTAACAGCATAGCGGGCAAAGACAACAAGAGGCGAGTAACTAAGAGCCAATCAGATAACAGTCAATAATGAGGGTATGCTCTACGCAGTTGAGTTTGCAGGCTTTTCCAAGCTCGACTCATCGGCATGCTGATGATGGTGCATCGGCTCGCGTCCACCGTTCAATGCGTTCTGCTTCTCGCGCGCGAGGCCACCCTCAACATCCAAGACGCCCAGATCCTGCTCGAGACCGACGTAGTCGTACGCGAACTCGCCCATGTCGTAGTCGTCCATCCCGACGATCTCGGCCTCCTCGGTCGTGCGCATGCGGAGGAAGGGGATGAAGTGCATGATCCAGAGGATAATGGTGGTCATGACGAACGAGTACGCGAAGCCGGCAGTCGAGTCGGCCAGCTGATAGCCGAGCTGGATCCAGTTGTGGTCGAGCCAGCCACCGTCGATCACGGCGATACCATCGAAACCGGCAACAGAAGCCTGTGCGAAGAAGGCCGTGAGGATGTTGCCAACGATGCCGCCGATGGCGTGGACAGCGAAAATGTCGAGTGCGTCATCGTAGTGGAGGAGGAACTTGAGCTGGGTGGCCAAGTTGCATGCGGCGGCGCCAACAACGCCGTATAGGACCGCTGCGGGGGAACCGACGAAACCGGATGCGGGTGTAATGGCGACAAGACCGCAAACGGCGCCTGAGCAGAATCCAACAACGGACCACTTGCGCTCGAGACGGTAATCCATCAACATCCAAGTGAGACCACCCGTGCTTGCTGCGAGGTTGGTGACGATGCAGGCTTGGATGGCGCGGAGGTTCGCGCCGAGAGCGCTACCGCCGTTGAAGCCGAACCAGCCTATCTTATGGTCAGACCTCCGCATCTTCTCCCAAGTGCGAGCCTTGTACTCACCGAACCAAAGGAAACATGTGCCTAGGACAACGTAGCTGGTGTTGTGGGGCTTGTATGCGAGGCGCTCAGTGCCGTATCCGCGACGCTTGCCGAGGTAGATAGAGATGGCGAGTGCGGCTGTACCGGAAGAGATGTGAACGGGCGTTCCACCAGCAAAATCAAGGCCGCCGAGGACGAACGACCAGCCGGCCGAGTTCCAAGTCCAGCATGCGATCGGGTTGTAAACGATAGTAGACCTAGCGGAATCAATACCCTTATCAGCATCACGGCATCTCTGAACGGACCGGCTATGACGGAGCCAAACGTGAAAAAGATACACACCAGACGAATACGAATACCATAGTCGGACCGAGACGCGCACGCTCGGCAATTGCTCCGATAGCAAGCATGGGCGTGATAGCCGCGAACATGCATTGGTAGATACAGAAGAGGATTGCCGGAATGTGCGTGCTGCCGATTGACGGCGCACCGAGCACGCCCTTGAGACCGAAGTACTCTAATCGGGAAAATTGTCAGCGCTTAAGCGGGTGGAGATGCTGTGAAGAGAGCTACGCACTCAGGTCGCCAATGTAGGCGTTAGCACCATCACTGAATGCGAGAGAGTAGCCCCAGAAGAACCACTGGAGGACATGTCAACGTCGGAGTATCCTGCTGCGCAACGCAAAGTACGCACCTCGAACGATACAACGGCCAAACACATCATACTCGCCCAGATCATCGAGAGCGCGTTCTTCCTCCTGAGCAGGCCAGAGTAGAAGAAGCCGACGCCGGGAATCATAAGCCATACGAGGGCCATCGCGACGATGATCCACGCCGTGTCGCCGAGGTTGTAGGTCGTGGGGACACCGGACTCGTCGGTGACGACCATGTCATTGTCGGGGGTGTACGTGACGTTCACCATGATGGCTCAGGCGGGGAGGGCGACCTCTGAAACGCGACGCGCGCTAGGCGAAAGCGAGCGAAGCTGGTGACGGGAAGAGAGGGAGGGCAAGAGAACTCTGCAAACTGCGGCGACGGGGTTCATAAAGCAAATGGAGGGCCTGTACATTCACCCCCGTCCCTGATCACAGTCGCTTGGCAGCGCTCTATCCCGTAGCGTGGAGGCTGGCCGAATGAGAAAGCAGAGATAAGAACCCAACACAGACACGAAGCTCCCGAGCGCCGCGTGTTGCCATCAAAGACGCCCAATAAGTACGCCACATTTTCCTTGCCGCGCTTCCTCATATGTTGCATACGTCGTGTTTACCGCATGAGAAGCATGGTGGCAAAGAACCGTACAGAAGCGCGTAGGTGCGCCCGAAAGAGCAGCTGGAATGAGAAGAGGAGGCGCGCTTCCCCGATCTCAACTCTGGTGCCCCTGAGTGCTTATCGCAACGCCGTTTCAGCGGGGGCTGGAGCCCATCAACGCGCCGAACCGACCCGATCTTCAGAGGCACGCTGTGCACAGGAGGCACGGACACACCTTACCAAAATAGTACGCGGCGCCTGTTTCTGCTGTGGGTCGCTATGGGTGCAGTTGCGCAATGTTCAGGTTCCATCGCGTCGCGACATGAGCTGTGGCACGACACGCGTAGCAGCGTGTGGCACGTCCGAGACGTAGCGGCAACGTCGGAGTAGGTGGCAGAGATAACGAAGATCAATTTTTGGTCGCGTTCAGCACAACCGAGCATCGATTGGGTGCGGCTGTCGTGCGTTTACGGCTCAGGTACAAATTTGCAGGCGTTGACAGGCGGACGCTATCTGGTCATCGGTCATCGCACAGCTCGCTGCGTATCCCGTTCTGGTAGCTCTCGTACGGCGTGTTGACAGCGTTTGGACTCTCGGGATACACGCTGTCAGCGGAGGCGCTTGCGGAGAAATGCAGTGGGCAGGCGGCCGGCGCCAAGCGCCAGCCGTGTATAACATTTCCGCTTGCTACGCTCCCCACACCTTGTCAGAGCGGGCGCGTCCAAGGCAACTTGGGTATAACAGTCGGATAACCATTCCCATATCATAGGATCCCGCCAATGAGTCGAACGCTGCTACTCGTGTGGCAAGTAGAATGATGACTGATATGCAGCCTGTGACGGGACGCTGGTACACGTTTGGAAGCAGACTGACATTGCAACGCCGCAAGGGAGTACACAGCTGTGTTATGTATCATGAACTTTGGCGCTTGAAAGTACTTCAGGCATAAGCACAGCCCAACCAAGGCTGCGCTCTCGTATATGTAGCGATAGAGAAAATCGAGAACGACTATAGCGGTTTGCGGACAAGCACATCTAGTACATGCGTGGGCGGCCAGAGTAGAAGTCATCTGCATCAGAAGTCCAACTTCAGGTGACTGGCATGGGGTGCAGTACTACAGCTGTTGACGTCCATGAGAGCACGAAGGAAGACAAGGCGACTCGGACCGCCGCAGACGCGCTGCGGGACGCGTCGCGTGAGAAAATGCATGTGAGCGCGCCAAATCCGCGCCGGTCGCGCGAGCGCGCTGGCCGACGTTTCCTGCGCTCGTCGACGTCCAGGGCCGCCAACATGGCCAGTATTCTCGCTGTCGCGCGTCAAGCTCTCCGGCCCGTCTGCAGGAGACAACTCGCGGTCGCTTCTTCTTCTCTTCTGGCTCACCGCTCGTTACATGCATCACCCATCTGTACGTTATTTATATTCAATGTCAAGCGTATGGACGCTGAACAGACTGTGTAGCCTTGAAAAAGAAGAAGAACGCGGCGCAGGAATCCGAGTTTGACGACTTTGCGTTTGAGGACGACGAGTTGATATCTATCTCCGCGGAGGAGCCGTCGGCCAAGGGCAAGCAGGTCAAGGCGAACCAGCGCGGTTCACTCACGCCCGAGCAACGTGAGGCGCGCTTCAACGAACTCTTTGACTTTGTCAAGACCCACATCGGCCGCCAGCCGACGGCCGATGACCCGAAGCAAGTTCGGACTTCTGCCTGGACACACCTCATTCAGCTCGCGACTACCGAGGAGCAGTTGAAGAGAGTTGCCGATGCATTTGCGGACTGGACTACCGTCGGCAGGGAGTTCAGGGCGGAACAGGCGTTGCTCTTTGTCCGTGAGTATCTATCTCATATAGTGCTGTGCGGTGTGGCGCGGAGCGTGGTATTTGGATACGAGACTGAATCACTGTGTAGAACGGTGCAACCAACTCAAGTGCCCTACACTCGCCGTCGACGTCTTCAGCAACAGGCCATACTACCGCTTCGACCTCAAGTCGATCGAAGCCGCTCGGGAGTTGTTACACTCCGTGCACAAGGACTCGCTATTCAAAGAATCCGTCCTCGTCTCGACCCTCTACACGCTATACAACCTTCCACCCCTCGCCAAGGACCTTGTATCATGCAGCATGCTCCTCTCTCAATGTCTCGCGGTCGACACACCCGAAGCCCGCGTCATTGCCGGGGCGCTCTTGCCCGCGTTCAAACAGTCGATCGAGAGCTCGCCGCCTTTGTCTCTGCCCACCGACTCTGCCGCACGTAGTCAACGCGAAACCAGGCATCTGTCGTGGTTGAGGCAGGCCGCCGGGTCTATAGAAGGCCGATTACGAGCCCGTGGAGAAGATACGACGTGGTTGAGGAAGTGGAGGGTGGCGAGCGGGCATTTATCGTCGAGGACACAGGAGCACTTCGAGCACGAGCAGCCACGCCAGCACGTAGCGCACACATGACAGCGGTTGCTCTAGACGCAGGCTTTCGCCAAATATCGCTTCATGGCCCGTCCCGGACGAGTTCACACTATCAGTACTCTGCACTAATTCAATGTTGCTTTGCTTTCACTCTTGACGTGACATACACCGAATGCGCTGCTCAGTACTCAAGGAGTGTTGAACGAATACCTGGACCACACTTGGGGTGTGGGGTCTGCCATACCCGCCGGCGGACGCCCGTCCGAACCTGTCGTGCTGATAAAGCCGCCGGGTGAGTCACGTCCAAGTTCGACTCCACGGATTCTGTGGTAGAAGCGATATAAGTTGTGCTATTCGTGGTCGATTGCGAACGCTAGTCTTCCTCCCGCCCCTGATCATGCCCGAAGATGAGCGTGAAGAGCGAATTGGTGTAGCGCAGCGCGGTGTGAGGAACGAGGGCCGCTTGCGCGGAGGCAAGATGAAGTGAGACTCGGGCGTCTAGGCGGAAAGTGCCAGAGCCCGGCCATCAAAGAAGCGTGGCCTGCTAGCATGAGGCAGGTCCGCGCGCTCCGGCAAACGCCGCGATCTCTCTTTCCGCGACCTCGACCTCCTCTCGGTCGCGTTTGCTCGCTCTTTTTTGTCCCACCCACCTCCCTCTCTCTTCGGTCGACACACAGCGGTACGCGCTGGGGGTTCTCTCCGGGCTCCGGCTCTCGTTCCTGGTTTTCCGCTTGGAGGCTCACCCGTGCGTAGCAGCTCGCGGCTCT